CCCACCCAAGGCCGTAAAAACGTGATTTGCGGCGAAGAGAGATGAAAACCCCCTTCACGATGACCAATCAAACAAGAGCGTTCGATCGTTCTTTCTTTTCTAGGTATATAACCATGAGTGCGGATAATAATATCCCCAGCTTAACCGTTCAGCATACGCTCCTAGAAAGTGGAACACTATTAAATAAAGTATTATTCAATATCGAATGAAGAAAATCATACAATTGATTTGAACAATTTAAAAAAATGGTTTTCTTAAAAATGCATGTACGTTTAATTTATAATAAATAAATATATATGTATATTCTACAACTACATAGTCATACTGCAGATATCGGTCACATCACGAAAGTTAATGAGCGCTGTAATGAGATTAAACGAGGCCGCGTTAAATACCGCAGCTTTTCCAAGCGGGCGAACTTATTATTCGTTCACGACAATTCGCGGGAATTGGCAAATGTGATTTTATTTACGTTGAGCTCGCGGTCTGGTGATCGACTCTGAAAGCAGGTAATTCGATTTACCGTGTCGTTAGTCTAGAGTCCCCGAGATCGTTGCCAATTTCCATGTCAAAGCAAACGAGAAGCGTCTCTTCTCCGCCGCGTGAGAAATACGTGCGCGAGTATATATGTACGCGCACATTAACGCACGTTGCTTTTACGAGCATCATGAACATGTCATAAACTATTTTGTAGATATCCCCAGGTTGCTTCTTCTTCATTCTTGACAAGAAGCACTTAAGTATTCGCGTAAAGAACCAGACGACCGACCGTTAACTACCGTTTAACGCATCGCAAATCTCTTATCCTTGCCTTTGTAAGATGTAACACCTGTCATACGTTAATGGTTATAGTTACTCATTATCTTTTCTTTACAACGTATAGAGTAATAGGTTCAATAAATATTCATCATGTAAATCAGGGTATTTACGAAGCTTACTACACGCTCTTCGTAAGAAAAAGCCATGTCTCTATTATTAATTTGCTATTTCAAGTAGTCCCGCGAGAAGCGGTCATTTCCGCAAAGACATTTTTTAAACGCGCGCGGCGTATACATCCACCAGATCTACCGCGTTCGCCCCGTAAATCGTGCCGCTCTATAAAGCACAGGGGAGCTGGAAAATTAAACGTGGCTCTCATAGAAACGAGATTGCTCCTCGAGAGAAAGCTCTCTCTCTCGCAGCCAGCGGAGTCTCTCATCCGGAAGAGAACGAACGACTTTTCTCGAAGTGACCCGCGCGCGCTATCAGCTTTATCGATAACGACCTATTATCGCGGGGCACAGTCACTTACACCTTCGGCGCGCAGTCACATTCTACTTTTTGTCTCGTAAATAATCGACGAGGGGCAGTAATAGCGGCACAAGTTAGCGGTAGCGACGGTGGAACTATACCGGGATCAATAGCGCGAAATTCGTTGCGTATTCCACGAACAAAAACGAAACCGGCGCGTTATATAGCGCGTCATTATGCCCGCCCGGTGCAAGATCGAACGTATGCGCGACGTTTGCACACGTAATGCCGCGTGATGAGTTTCTCGTGATAAACCATTTGGCTCGATGACCATGTCTCTTAACCCGGAAATGGGTGTCCGGGGTGATTTTTACACCCCAATTAAAAATTGTTATTGATTACATATTATATAGGTATTTTTTATTGTTCCATAACTTATTAGTATATATTTTAGAACAATATGTATAAAGATTTACTCAACATTTTCTGAAAAAAGTAAGAAGATACCAAAGAAATATTTAAAACACAAAAAAAGCACATTAAAGTTAACTGTGACGTGGGATAAAAATCACCAGGCGCTCGTTCCCGGATTAATCAAAAACAATAACGCTCTTAGCAATGCCTTCACAGTAAAAAACATTTTGTATTTGTATTAAAATTTTCCTGTGTAGAAAGTTTTGTGTTAAATTTCTGACACAGTTGTATGTTAATTTAACATATCGTTGTTGTGTTACTTAACTTTTCCATGTTAAATTAATATTAACCATTTTTAAGAGTTAAAATAACACAATTTATATATGTAAGTGCATGAATTCTTGGTGATATATTTTATATGTTAAAGTGAACAGATAAATTGTGTTATTTTCCTTTTTATAACAGAGTTACTATGTGTTAAATTGACATAATTCTTATGTTATTCATCAAAAAAAGATCAAAACTAAAAATAAATACTTTTCTTAAATGTTAAAATAACATCTTATCTTAATTACATTTAACATTATAGAGATGTCAATTTAATATAAACTTTGATTTCTGAAAGCGTCTAAATGTTAAATTTTTATGTTAATTTTTCACATATTATGTTTGTTATTTTTTTACATATTTGCTTTATGTTAAATTAACGCGAAAATTTGAGTGGATAAATTGGGACATGTGAAATGTGTTAAATTTAACACAAAATTTTTTACTGTATTCAATCAAACGATTGCGAACACGTGTTTGGCAAGAAGACGGTGCTATTCTATTTTATCTCTCTCAGCACCATCGATAATTTTAAAGTTCCACCGAACGCTCAGAGTTCTCGTTAGATTACACTCGCTCATACTTTGCGAAAACACGTTACGCTTCCAAGATTTATCAAGGCAGACTCGCATAATCGCATGCATAATCGAATGTAGATTTTTGTCTATCACCGGAAGACGTTCGGTAGAAAATTAGGGGGGCAGCGAAGTTCTTATTTCTGCCTGCAAAAGCAACCAAGACAGACAAAAATATCAGGCGCGCGTCTGCGAGCGCAGTCGGCGGTCTTCGCCAGATCGATCCTCTAATCAGAGGGATGCCTCGCGATACACAAGACGGCTTTGATCGCGGATTAATCGAATGGATGCGATAGTGAACATTCCTCGGCGTTGGCAACGCCTAGCTCGAGATAGCCGAGAGAATCTCACGGGCCTAATAGCGTATTCCCGGGGTAACTGCCGATAAACCGTCTTGTCGTCGATAGGAAACGAAATACGAAATCGTAAAAACGCGCTTTTACGTTCCCGTTTACGATTGCGCGCCTTAGGGTCGCGCGTCTCGCTACCGTAATTATGCAAATATACTGCACAACGCGTGGCCACGTGTAGACATGCTGCTTCTATGTTCATAAATCTAGGGGCGATTACGAAAAGTAACGCCGTTGGTTGCGCGTTTCCAGACCATATGGAAAACATTAAAAATTTCTAATAGATTACACGTATGTATAATATTTAGATAATAAGTATATATAATATTTATATGTATTATAAATTTTATATATACGTTATTATGTTACACATATTGTATTATATATATATATATACATATATATGCATGTATGTATGCAGGTATGTACATATTTATGCGCAACTGGCGAAATATGCGCTATACAGATAAGTCTGGCAAGGGCAGAAAGGTGTTTCCCGTTGACCACACGTATGCCGCATTCACTTCACGTGACACGCGTTGTATGGTAGAAATTAAAATTGCAAATGCCTCTACTTTAAAATACGTACTTATATAAGCTAGAGATAAAACGAAACGGCGTTACATAGCGATATCTCGCGTACAATCGAAAATAAGAAAACAAGAGCTCCGGAAAAATTCGACGTACAAGGTCAAAGAAATAGCGACAGAAATTAGCGAGTATTATTAATTAATGTATAAACTCCTTTTACAACTTATCCCCGCTTTCGTTAGAAATATTTTACATTTTTTTAAACATCTTAGGATTTATTTCAATACTAGAAAAAATGGTCAAAAACAACTTTTATAAGGATCTCACGTATCATTTAAAATTACCGCAAATATACTATTACTGGTAATTTAATTTAAAAGAGAGTAGTTGGATTTTCTGATATTGAGATATTATGAAATTAGCGCACCAATTTTTTACAGCAGCTTACCGCTCGAAGGTACGCGAAAAAACGCGAGTTTTCATGGTACTTACAGCACGAAACTTAATTGGAAGCTCGTACGCGGTTCGTAATCGACGCGTGGAAACCGCACGATTTTCACGCGCGTATTAACAGAGACGGAGTTTACGCCGGTTACGATCCGCTGATTTTCTAAAGAGCGGCAAGGCACGTGTTTTTTCTTCTGTTTTTTTCCCTCTTTTCGAGCGTCAGCCGCGTGATGCTTGGAAATGCAAATACGACGTTTTGTTTGCTCAAATTGCGATCGGTGCCGTAAGTCTGCGGTCTGTTTGCGTTACGTCGGATTGGGGGGCGTCCACTCTCGCTCATCGACGTAACGTCTAAATTTGCACGCGATTCGACCGTTTCTCACCACGGTCTCGTAATTCATGTTCCGCCGACGTTAACTCACTGGGGGGCGTTATTATCCAAGGGAGCGAGTCGATTATTCGCGATTCGGCTGTCGATTCGTCGAGAATTAGACGGCGGCGAGAGCGGGACTCGAGAGCTGCCTCGAGTGCAAACGACGGCAGAGGGAAAGAGAGACGCGAAGGGATCGATTCGGTAATACGAAGGGAATGCACCATCACCCTCCCCCTCTAGCCCGGGACCAGCCCCCCTTGCTCAGCCTGGCCGAGGGGGTTAAAACGAAGATTCCGCAACGTTGATTCTCGGGATGTACAGATCGTACGCATTGTGTGCGGCCACTTAATTGCCCTTGAGAATCTCCTCCCTCTTTTAAATGGAGCGCACTTGGCAATGAAGGGTGGCTCATAAATATTTTCGTTATGCTCGAAGGAACATTCCTCCGTGCTTCGCGTAAGGATGGTTTGGTAGGACATGATTTACAAGTAATTATTCTAAACCCGCGATCAATGCTAATTAAATCTATTGACAAATATAAAAAATAGCATGCAATTTTAAATAACACAGAAATAAAATACCGATATAAAAAAACCGATAATTGAAAAATGACATATGGAGAACATGTTACGTTTTTTTGGACCTAAAAAAATATTAGAAACCTCGTTTACGCCATAAATTTTTAAATTTATTAAGCCTCAAGTAGAAACAACCCTCCAAGCGTAAGGGGAAAAAATGTCTTAATATACTTACGGACGAAGATGTTGCTCATCAACGTGGCCGGCAGGCAGAAGACAATGACGAGCACGTCGGCGACCGCGAGATTGACGATGAAGAAATTCGTGACGGTCCGCATGCGGGGTGACCGGTACACCACGGCGATCACGCAACTATTGCCGATCAGGCCGACCACGAAGACGACCACGTAGGCCACGCAGTAGACCGCCGACATGGCCATGCTGTGTCTGTAGAGCCGATCGGGCGCGTGCTCGATCGGCGCCGACAGATTCTTGCTGGCGTTGAACAGCCCATGGTGGACCTGGTCGTCCATAGTGGCACGCGGGCTCGTCGTCGCGATCGCCTCAGTGATCAGGTTGTTAAGGTAATCGCCCAAGTCGTTCCGCATCTGCAGCAGAGTGCCGCTGGTACCCGGCGGCCCGGTCGCGACTGTCGTGGTACCCGGCACGTTGCCGTTATTACTCCTGCGGCGCGTGTCAACGTCAAACTCTTCGGAGTCCGGTAGTCGCAGGGACGCCATCTCCAGAAGGGGAGACGGTGGCTGCAGCATCGGGAACTTGAGCGTAAAGTGACGGATCGGCGTTTCGACCATTAGCCGAAACGTTAACGCGGCGTGCCGTTGTCGTCGTCGTCGTCGTCGTTACCGCCGTCTCTTTTCCTCCACGGCGCGCTCGCCGTCCGCGTCGTGTCGACGAACCCTGAGGCCAACCTCGACTCGCTCGCCCGCGACCTTCCCGTCCGGGTCGCCTCGTTTTCACTCGGCAGCCTCTTCCGCAGGTTTTCCCGCACTCGGGCCGCGCGCCAATCGCCGACCGATCGAACTCACGTACGCGAGAGACTCGCGCGAACGATCCCGGAAACGGGCGCTCGATTGTCGTCGGGGACAATGCAACGCCGGTGGAGAACAATTTCCGGCGCGATCGAATGACAGTGATGATAAATTGTCGAAATCGGCATCGATCTCTCGGAGATCGCGGATATTTACGCGCGTGGATCGGTCGTCGGGAAACATACGCGATCCGGCCGAGCGCAACTCGCACGTGTGCCAGAGTCCATCCGACCGGAAGTACCCTCCGGATCGCCGGAATGACTCGATCAAGGGTGAAAAATGATGCAGGGAGGGTCTAAGTGATCGGTCTAAGTGAGTTAGACGGCGAAAAGACGAGGGAAATGACGAGGGTCGTAACGAGGATGTAGAAGAGTATATGTATGAAAACGTGTGTTTGCCGCGGCCGGGGGATGCTGGAGCGACCAATGGACCTGGCTTAGAGGACGACCGCGAACTGCCGCGAGATGCACCCGTCGCGGCCGAGCTGTCTGCTGGCGATGCTCGACGACTGCGCAAGCGTTAACATCCAGCGGCACATGCACCCGCATGCGAGTGTGCTCGCGCACTAGCCCCCACAGCCACGCCGAGTGAGACTATTGCGAGCGAAACTGGGAAAATGGGAAGAGTGCTGGCGACGATGACAGCGCGCGCGACGACGCGCGCGGGGCTGCTCCGCATAGAGCGGTCGCGCGTCGCGCGTGTCCATCCTCCTCCTGCTGTGCGTTTTCCGCCGAAATACGCGCGATGAATTCGTAAACCCCACCCCATCTCCCCCCCTCCCTCCTCCACCGTTGGCATCGCTCGCATCGCCGACTCGGCGCCCTCGCGGGACTCCCCCATCCCCATTTCCTCCCCCTTGGCCAAATGTCGCCAAGCGATTCTGCCGTACACGCTGTACAACAGTGCATCGTTCACGTTTATTGCGCTTATATCAAAATCCGAAGCTAAGAAAGCGATTTGCGAGACGACGAAACGATAATGTACAAAGAGCAAGAAAACTGTGCTCTCCGATCGTAAACTGATAACTGATTAAATAGCATTAAACTCCGGATGCATAATGCGATAATTTTTAAAGGGAAAAAAGATGAAATCTTTGTCAAAGTTATAAATAGAATCTCTAAAATAATAGTAATAGTATTAAACTAAATTTGTCAGCAAAACAATATTTTGCAAACCCATATACTAAGAAAGCAGTTTGCGAAACGACGAAACGATAATGTACAAAGAAAACGAGAAAGCCGAGCGCTCCGATCGTAAACTGATTAAATAGCATTAAACTCCTGATGCATAATGCGATTACATTTAAAGAAAAAAAGAAAAAGAAAAAAAAGACAAAATATTTATCCAAGTTATGAATAGAATCTAAAATAACACACAGTAATAATATAATATAATCAACTAAATTGTAATTAGATTTTTATGTTGCTTGTGCAAAAAAATTTGTCAGCACTCGGCAAAGCAACATTTTGCAAATCCGTATGCACGATAAAGAAATTATGCCCAGCGTGTTGAATTCATGATGAATTCTACAATGAATCAAATTATTCAAATATAACAAATGAACAAGGATAGTAAAGAATTGGTGAATTTTTTTTTATAAAAGGTATTCAAGATGACCTTTATGGGCGTCCAATACGTCGCAGAACTGGATGTTTCACGAAAACACACGTGCGCTCTCAAAATTTCCTGATGTGTCAGAAGCAAAACTAAAACTGTAACCGGAAAGGGACACATTACGTTTGCACAGTTTTGACGCTGTCAACAAACACGTCCTGTTGCTGTACTGACGTGGAGTCAGTGCCAAAAGTGGCCGTAACTCGGAAGGGAACGCGTTTCATGAATATTTCACGTCAGTCTGATGAGCACAATACGCTTTGGAAACAGCACCCTCTTTTTCGTTTATGCATACACCCCGTATACAATATTTTTAAATGTATTTTAATGTTTTCACTATTCAATGCTTTTAACTGACATATATTTAATTTTTTAACAGTTACATATCTACATCTGACACTTAATTGATATTTCAACATATAATTTATTCTAGTTGGTTTATTGTCATTTGATCGTTATAGACACACACATTATACAATTTTTTTTATTGTTACGCAGAATATAAAACTTTCAAAGAACTTTCCTAATGTTTCAAGTAGTTTTCGAGACATCTGTTTTTTTTTCTACCCTTTTCGCAAATGTATAAATCGTAAACTTTGTTATTCGTATAAAATTAAATTCTGTGAATAAAATATTTATTTATTTATAAATATTGTTTTATGCTAATAATTTATTAATTTTAGCTTACATTGCTAAGAAGTGGAGTTGGTTTACAATTTTTCCTTAACATACGCGTACAATCCATATGATATATTTATTACCTTCATACTTATTACCACCTATTCCTTTTTATTTTATTACTCTCCCTCTTCCTCTACAATTTTTTTAGCACATTTCCTTTTACATTATTCAATTTATAAAATTCATTGTTCCATACTCGTTTCAATATTTCTTCTTTATTCCTATCTAACTCCTTAAATTAATCCTTAGTCCTACAACACTCCTCTTTGTAATGACTCCTACAATCTTGTCCTTGCCCACAAAATACACATAACGTTTTCTCCTCCCTTAATCAATATTAATTCCTCTCTTCCATATTACCACACCTCAGACTTAACAACGCACTCCATCTTTCCTATTCAATATTTATCTAAAATTTTCCCCTTTTAAATACCTGACCCTATAATATTGTTTTATATTAACTAACACTAAATTAAAAGAAATAAATAAATTTATTAATTAAATTAATACTATTGTCTTCCTATACAATGTTAATACTTTCCTTCAGATTATTGAATTTTTTTATGGTGAAAATAATAGCACAATTGAAGCGATTATAAAGAAAAATCATCAAAATATGTCTGATTAATTTCACGGTACCGTTGAAAATAAGGCATACAGAAAATATGAGATAGCGAAGATACGTAATTTTAAAGGAATCTCGCAGCTCACTCCATTGGCGTTGAAATATTTTTGTAGCAGGTGTTTCTTATCTCGTGACGGAATTTTGTCGACTGAATTTTTCATGTTGAATATCTGTCTTCAAATGACGGCAAGTGTTTCGCTTTCTTTCCTTAAATGAAATAACTGCACCGATGAGCATCTCTAAATATTCTACATACCTCTCGCAAAGTTATAACGCTCTTTAATTCACTTTATCATCACATGTTAAATTATTAGCATATTATACTTTTAAATAATCTTAAATATTTTGTTAATATTATCTGTACTTTAAATTAAAATTTTATTAAGGATTAAATTGTATGTAATATTAATTTGCATTTTTAAGTTAGTTTATAATGTTAGCTCAAAAATTTTATAAATGTTCTTTAATTATCGTTTATCTAAAATTGTAAAAGAAATAACATGTTTTATTAGAAAAACAAATAAATATTTCTTAAAGATCGAAATGGATTTAACGCTTTAGCCATCTTAGTTTTAACAACGTGTTGTGCCCGTGAAGTATCGCAGTAAAAGGATCGTCACTTGAAACTACTTTTGAAAAGATTCTCTCAAGTGATTTTCAAATTCTATAAATATTATTTTTTAATGATAGAATTGTAGTGGTCCTCTTACAATTCTAATTTAAATGTTCAGTTTATAATTTTTTGTCTTAACGTTCACGAATGATAAGAGATCACGCCTCATTAATTTGTTCCTAAATTATCGATGTTGATTCGTTGATGATGACTGTTCGATAATACTTTATGACTGTCCTCGAGGTAATGAAACTTGCCAGTTTTAAAGAATTTTTCTGGATTGTTTGGAGAAGATAACTGCGCGATGAGTCGCAATCGTTGATTTTGCTCAATTCGTCATAAGCAAAGTTCATCTTTCTGGGAATTTAGCGCAGCGTTTTTACTTGTACTTGTGTTATGCATTATTATATGGCCTTGTTTCTTGCCCAATGGAGACCATTTGTTCTATTTCTCACAGGTTTGTGTAACCTTGTAAGATTATAACAAATAGCAGGAGAGGACATCTTTTTTCTCCAATATCAGACACAGGCTACAAATAAACTTCCAAAACACGTTGTGCTACACTTGACCGAGTATAGAATATAGAGATTTTGATAGAAAGTGTCCAATTGTCACATACGAAGTACTCACTGGAGTAACATACAGTAACGCACGAAATTGATCGAGTGTTTCTAAAATAATAAAAAAATAAAAAATTGTTCAAACCCTTATTATTTTAGAAATATATTATTTAGACTTTTTTGATTCAGAATCCTCTATAATGTACAAATTATGTTGCTTTTGCATGTCTAATCTCTTTCTCTTTTTCTTCTTGTATATACTTTTATAAAGTTTTTAAATATTTTAATTAATTCCGCGACAAATTCCGTCCTTTTGTTTTTACTATAATTAATGATTTTTACTTTTTTGAGACTACATACCCACTAGACATTTATCTACATCTAATAGAACATTATATTTTTAGTCGCGTATTTGCGTATCTGTATATTGTACGTCAAATTGAAAACCAAATGTTTACCGGCGTGGAAACGCATTCGCGACTAACAAGAAAACACGCTGAAGTTTCCCTTTCCAATTCTGATGAGCTTTTGATATGTTGTATTCTAGACCAGAAGAACACGTATTTTTTTATATGTGACCAATTCGGGGAATAAAACACCCTTTTCACAAAAAAATCAGTTTTTTTCTTTCAAACCGAACATCGTCGAAACTAAAACAGATAGAAAAATTTTTTTGCAGTAAAAGTTGAATGATTTTAAAATAATGATATAACAATTTTTGTACTTTTTTAAATACTCCCACCTATTATCCCCATTTGTTCTCAAAATTTTGAAATTTTTTAACAAAATTAAAAGTTACTTTATTATGTGTGAATTTAGTTAT